AGATCATGCTTCAAACCAATTGATCATTTTCTAGGTCAAAAATAAAAAATTGCCCTTGCTTAGTCAAAACCCTAATTTTGACCATCTTGCCCTTTTGATGATTTGATCAAAATTCTTGAAGAATTGTGGTCCAAACTTGATCAAATGATACATATGAGTTTATAATGTTGATGTAGAAAAAAATTTATGAAGTTTGATTGTAAATTGGCCAAAGTTGACTTTTCCCCCAATATAATTGATTTTTAGGTCAACTGCTCAATTGACTGAGCAAAAGTGTGATCCAAGGCTTGAAACTTGACATGAGTAATCTTGGGGGTCAATAATAATCCATGAAAGTCACATGAGGCATTAAAAGTTCAATTATCCTTGTGAAATATCAAACCCTAATTTTGGTCATCAGTGCTTAAGGAGGTGTCCTGAGTTGATCAACCCTAGTGCAGTCTTGAACCAAGAGAGATCTTTGTGAGAAAATGTTTGATAAATGAGAGGGAAAATTTTGGGGTACAATAGTCACCAACTCCAATAACAATTCATAAAAAACGTCTCACCAAGTAAAAGAGAGTCTACATTGCTCTCGCAATCTTTTTAAAAACAAGTAACAACTAAATAAGTAAACAAACGTCCATCTCTGATATTACATATCAGATCAAGACCCGACTTAATATATGCAATACGAGGCATATCTCTACCTCAAGCAAATCTAATCTTCGTCATCTGCGTGTTATCCACGTGGAGGAAAACTTCAAACAGTAAGGGGTGAGATATCATAACAATATAAACAAATATATGATAATGAACAGGTAAAGTATGACGTACATAATCATAATATAATACTTCATACATGACACATTTTTAACGATCAACCCAACAATCAACAAATCACATCTTATTCGTCAACGACGTCATATTAGTCATACTTCACGCACTAACACCAATACATGTCACAATTTCCACAATCACATCCAACAATCAACAAATCACATCTTATTCACCAAATACATCATCAATGCAATGAGACCAACTTCACTAATTATATGCATGTGGTACTATAACAACATCTCTTTATCATTTGGGCTACACTGTTGCTTGCCATTAAGGCTACATCGTCACTTGCCATTAAGGCCATATTGTCACTTATGAACATGCATACAACACTACTATGCTACAATAACTTATGCAATGACACATCACACATCAATAAAACAAGCCAATACAGCTCGCTAATCACATATTGCTGCTCATACATCGTCACACATCACTACATCATGAAATCTCTTCAATTTCATCGTCATATTCGTAACTTCGCAATCACAACACAACATTGGAATGAAACAAAATACATAAAATCATCTCATACTGTTTTCAAATCCGTTTTATTAAGTAGAAAATATTTTTAGCTTTCCGTAGATTCGAACGGCATGTCAAACAGACAACCGAGTCAAAAGATGAATTTTCAAAGATTTTCAAGAATCTTCTAGTTTCAGTATGGTACCTAGGTACCCATATATGGTAACCGGTTACCTCCTGTCAAAACGGCCAAAAATGCTATTTTTCGAGTGGTAACCGGGTACCCATATATGGTAACCGACTCCCACTGTTCCAAAATAAAAGAAAACAATTTTTTATGTTACCAAAAACACTTATTTGTCTGGTAAACATGTCTAACTTCCACCTACTATACCGTTAATGTTTATAATTAAACTTTTCACATTCATACCTCAATACCAACCATTTTAATTCACACAAAAACACATCAAAATAAAAAATTATTGTTATAGCATTTACACCCAAACATCACTCATCTATCAACTTCATTTATACAACATCAAATGCAAGAATTTCACACCCATTCATCATCAACAATTGTCACATAGGTAAATCACATAAAACACCCAATTCTCACAAAGATGAACATATAATTACATAACCTAACTCTACCATAACCCATCATCATACAAACCCTTATAGAGTTAGAATCGCACCCTTACCTTAGGTTTTGAGTTCTCTTTCCGTCTCCAATGGAGTATTCCCTTTAGCCCTAGGTTCTTCCTTTTCTCCTCTTCTCCCAAAAGCGTTATTTTCCCTCTTCACTGATTTCTACGATCAATTGAGAATAATGATTCTTTTTATCTCTTTAGACCCCTAATATCAATAACCCAATATTACCCTTCCTTATTTTTAATTAATTATTTAATTACTAATATTATAAATAACTTGTATTTATAATAATAATAATAATAATAATAATAATAATAATAATAATAATAATAATAATAATAATAATAATAATAATAATAAAATGATTATTAGTCTTCTCACCACACCCCCATGGTTCTATGATTTCAGTTATACACCATTAACATCTCAACTTCTATAATTTCTAAGAAATATCATCATCAACAAACGCATTACATCACATCACATCATAAAATCTATCAACTCATACAAATACACTGCATCGACTAATTCACCATCATTTATATATTCACTAATAATCACTGATATTCATACTAAATTAATTAAATAATTAATCTAGATTTTTGGGGTGGTACAATAACTACTATATTTATTCCTTATGTCTTTTATAATGATAATGATTACTCACCCTTTCTGCTTAGAAATGTTGCCTCTATACGTGGATAACTTGCAGGTGATCAGGATTAGTGCATTAAAGCTTAGAGGGTTAACTTCGAAGTGCGTCATTTATTTCTGTTGAATAAGATGGTCTTGCTCTGATATGTAACATCGGGGTTGAGAATGTTTGTTGTGAAACTATTATGTTTTCTTGTTTATTTTGAGACGATGAGTTACCTTTCATGATATTTAGTTGTTTGATTTATGAATCATGAATGATGAAGTGTGAGAAAGACTCTGTGAAGTATTTTCAATAAAGATATTTTGAGATTATGATTTTGCTGCAATAATCTAAATTTTTTTATATTCGATGATAATAAAGAATTATTTGTTTTAGATGTCTTGAAAATCCATGTTACGGGGCAAGATATTTTATATGATGTCTTTATCAAGATGTGACATCCTTGTTGGTGATTTTATTTGATTCAGTTTCCTCAAATATATGTGAAATATATGTGGATTTAGAAGGGTGTTACATGCATTACTGTTTTAAATCTTGACAAATTTGATTTGATTCTAGAATATTCTTGTTGGATATGTTTCAGTTAATTTTGCAAGTCAAGAAGATTTTATCTGGAACAAGGTTTTATATCTCCAGTTGTGCATTACTTACTAAATTAGATCCTTGAGACAATTTAGGAAACTTTGCATTAGTTGTTCCAAGATTTAAGGAGATTTTGTTGCACAACATATACAACTCTGAACTTGTGGATCAATAAGCTTCTAAACTCAGAATATCGAAGTCCATGGATTGAAGAAGTGTATTTAAGGAGAAAACCTAAACCTAAAGTGCCAAATTTTATCTTTCAATAATTGTAAAATTAGGGGAAGAAAATAGTCTGAGATTTTGAGAGTATTTTGTGTATTGTGTAGGTGTTTGCCACTCTTGTATCTTTCGATACATGTGATAGGCTTATTGTTCTCCTCGAAATTGTGAAGCAAGAGTGAATATTGTTCTCGGAGGAAGCTTCTAAGCAACTATGAGTATTGTTCTTGGTCGAAGCTTTTAAACAAGAATAAGTATTTGTAATTTGAAAGTATATTCTTCCTGTTTTGATTTCTTGAGACAATCCTTGTGATTGGGATAAGTCTTTTATCATTGCGGTGACTGGAAGTGGGATGACGATTTTTCATATTTTGGGAGAACCTAAGTAGAAGTAGCACTGAGTAGGGATTAGGCGAGAAGTTGTAAACTTGGGACTAGTTTATCTTTGAACTAATACTACTAATAGTGAATTTCATTCCTAGTTTGGTAGCCCCCAGAGTAGGTGAGTTAGCACCGGACTGGATTAACATATCACTGTGTTTTTTTTAATCTTTCTGAAGTTTTAATTTTTGTTATAAATTTGTTCAGGATGTCAGATCAGATGTTGCAACATTTGTCTTGACATTATTCTGATGTTAGAATCTTTATATTTCCGCGTGTTATCTGTGCTAGAGAAATTTCAATTATTTTATCATTCTAAACAAAATAAATAACATTTTTTTCTATATTTAAAAAAAAAAAATTTTTAGAAGCCCTTCTCTTCATCTCTAAACTTTAAAAGAAAGCCTTAATTATATGTTTATATCTATCCATTAGTTCTCTATACTCATCATCCGAGTTTGAGTTAATTTTTAAACTAAACAATAAACAAAAGATTTTAACATCAATATAATTCAAATTCCATTTCTTATGTTTTCGAGAAAGTCTTGTATGGAAACAAGATTTAGACATAATATATAGACACACTCGTATAAAGTAAAAAGAAAAAGAAATAGAAAAGTTAAATGGTATATAATTTTAATAATGATATATAATTATATATGTGAAACTTTTTATTCTAAAGGTTGAATTTTTTTTTAGAGTTTAATATATTTGTAGTCTCTCTATAAAATTATTAAAAATAATTTTAAAAAAAGTTAAATTTTAATTTTTATAAAATTATTTTTATATGCAGTTTTAGTCCCTTTACAGAAATTAAAATTGCGTATAAAAATAATTTTATAAAAATTAAAAATCAATTTCTTTTATAGAAATTAAAAATTAAAATTAAAATATTTATAGATATTAGAAACACATTCTCTCCATAACAAATTATAAATAAATTTGATTTTTTAAATATATTTGATAATTAATATATATAATTTATATATAAACTAAATACATTATCGGTCAAATATAAAAAATAAAAATAAAAGTCAAACTTATTTATAATTCATTATAAAAATACTATTTAACCTTTCTTTTTATTGCACAATACACCACTTTTTCATTTTGTGCATGACATAATTTGCCTAGGAAAAGCATTATCTTCTTACATTGTATACTCACTACAAAACCCTAAACCCCAATTCTCTAACTTCTCCATTTATCAATCAAACAAATGTCTCAATCTCAAACGTTACCACTCAAGAGACAACAAGGTGAAAACCCCTCAGATGATGCTTCCACTGCTATCAAACCTTCTCGCCTCAAAATTTCATTACCCTTTGAAGATAGCGACAAAAAGGTTACACCTTTATTTGTTTTTATCTTTGATCACTCAAAATACTTCAACCCTAATTTTGCCCTCATTTTTCATTTGCTTTTTATTATTTTTCCTTTTTGAATTTCTAATAAAGATTGTATTTTTGGTTCAGAATCTTGACAAGAGGGTCAAAGATGTTGAAATTTGTGTCCCTATAGTTTATGGGACTATTGCATTTTATCTGGGTAGAAAGGCTAGTGAGTAAGTTATGGTTTTTATTTTTCTTTGTTTAATGGGTTACTGATTTTTTTTTTGTTGCAATTTTATCTAATCAATTTGATGTTACTAGGTCTCAATCTCATAGATGGACTGTTTATGTACGTGGAGCTTCTAATGAAGATCTTAGTGCAGTGATTAAGAGGGTTGTCTTTCAGTTGCATCCTAGTTTCAATAATCCTACAAGAATTGTTGAATCACCCCCTTTTGAAGTAACTGAATGTGGTTGGGGTGAATTTGAAATTGCTATCACCCTCTTTTATCACAGTGATGTTTGTGAAAAACAGTTGGATTTGTGAGCTTCATTTGCTTGCTTTGCTGCATTTGTTTTTCGTTCGTTACTATTTGGAGATTGCGTTTTTTGAATCACTTTTTGTTCTCGAAGGTATCACCATTTGAAATTGTATCCTGAAGATGAGTCTGGTCCGCAGACTACCAAGAAACCTGTTGTCATTGAGTCTTACAACGAAGTTGTTTTTCCTGAACCCACGGAAGGTTTTCTTGCACGCATTCAGAATCATCCTGCTGTTGTTGTTCCTAGGCTACCGCCTGGTTTGAATTTACCGAACCCGGGTACGTTGCTTTCAATAATCCTCCGATTGATGTTTGTTACTACGACTATTACATTACTTAACCCCTTTCAAAAACTTCCATTATAATTCCTTGTGCGGGTTTTTGCAGTACCGATTGATCATATGAATGACAAGCAAAGAGGCGACACGAAAGATCATCCACTGAGCCAGTGGTTCCTGAACTTCTCGGAGGCCGATGAGCTCTTAAAACTAGCTACAGCTCGCCAACAGGTTCTGGTTGCTTTGTTAAATTATGGATTTTCTATTTGAATAGGTTGTTTCATGGCTAGAGAATTGTTAGTGTCATTTATTTCTTTCGGCATTAGACTGACTCTTTTCTTCCTTAAAGTAACATTACTATATGGACTATATTTTGAAAATAAATACAATCAATTCCAGTGCTCTTAAATAAAAGTTATAGCGGCGATACAACGTATTGTTCCACAATATGCTTTTTAGTACAAATATATTGTCAAATAGAGAGGTGCATAGTGGAATTTGAACAAACAGTTATTTTCCACAAGCCGCAATTGACATTGCTGATCAATTCCCCGATTCATTCCTAATGTGCAATTACTCAAGATTGTCTTTTCTCAAACGAGATGCATATTGTATTTGTCTTTATTCTTCTTGTTTGTATTTAGGAAAGGAAACTTAATGTAGTAGTTATCTACATTCTCATTGTTTCGAGTTTATGAGGCCGTTATTGGATGGTAAAACTTAATGGAGTAGTTTGTTGTTTTTCCTGCCCAATGTTTTATTTGTTTTGCACTAGTTGGATGCATATAGTGAGCACTAAATTAAATGCTCCTATGCATTATGAATTACTATTTCTGATCTTAAATATAAGACCCTTTTGAGTTTCTTCCTCATCCCTTATTGTAAGACCCTTTTGAGTTTCTTCCTCATCCCTTATTGTAAGACCTCAAGAGGGTCCTATATTTAGGGACAGTAAGTTCTTAGAGTCTTTTTAAACATATTGTGGATTTATGTGCTGACTATGTTTGCAACGTGTTAGGTGCAAGCTCACATTGTTAAGCTACGAAGGCAACTGAATTCGTTGGAAGGACAGTCGAAACAGCCTTCTGGTTATGAATGTACATGATCACTTTATCTTAAAATATTCTTTTGGGAGGATTTCCCAGTAGGGTTACACTTGGAAGATTAGTCACGGATAGTTACGTATATTATATACATATGTATCATCTTCTTTGTAGATTGTTTTGAATATATTTCTATCTGTAGAACAAACCAATCCAACAGTTTGGAAATTTAGAAGAAGAGACATCGTACTTGGCATTTATGCTCAAAATTTTATACGATGAATGAATGATAGATATTTGTATCAACTGTGTATTCATTAAGAAACTAGGAGTCACAAATTTGCAAAATCTGAAACCTTGTTTCACTAGCAAAACAAGAACATAGCTAGGAAAATAAAGAAAAGTAACAACAGAGAATTATTACTAAAATCATAACATGCATGTTGGTAGACACATATTATGAATGATGAAATCTTAACCTTTTGGAGAGTGATCAACATCATAACTTGCCTTCTTTTTTGAGAAAAGCCATCCTATCAAAGGCATCAATGCTGGCTTCTTCTTACCTTTCTTAATCGAGTTAGGTCTTCCAAGTAACTCATCTTTATTAGGAATAACTTGAGCTAAAACATGAGGACTAGCAAATTTCACATATCTTCTTTTTTGAATTGTTTCCTCGCTATCATAGTCATCGGTTTGTGTTTTGATTTCCACATTGGTTGTGTTTGCGATAAACTTGATGTCTTCGTTTATCTCTGGATCGCTGTGTCTTTGAGGCAATGTCATCTCTCTTGCTTTTGTCTCTTCCAATTCTTTCTTTGTTTCCTCAAGTTCCTTCTTGAGGGACTTTATGCATTGAGATAGGAAGTTAGCTTCTTCTTTCGCTGCCTCGAGTTTTCGCTTTGTTTCTTCTAGCTCCGCCGCTAATGCTCCAGCTTTCGGTTGTAAATTCGCGGTTTCACTTGCTTCATTTTGCATCTTCACCATTTCACATGCATAATCACATGAAAATTAATCAAACTATATACTAAAAAAAAGCATGAATGAGTGTATGGATACAAAAGGTTAAAGGTAGAACCTCTTTGAGCTTATTGGCATAAATTTCTCCAACTAGGACTCTTTCTCCAAACAAAAGAACAGCTTCTTTAACAGACTTAAATGGAGCTCCAGTATCAATCTCTGCACGTCCCATGATCAATGTTCCACTTTCTTCTCTGTCCATGTTAAGCTAAATAGTTTCCAGCTAAGATAGTATTAATGGCAAGACGTGTATGAGTGAATATTTGATGACAAATTGACCAGAAAAAGAGCTCCATTTAATACAAGTAACAAACATGTGAACTATTTAGTATTAAGGCTCTTAGTAATGGATATTGGTAGTGTAATAATTGGTTAACTTTTTTTCCTTTGCGTCCACTTCACTAGTATTTTGTTATTTGAAGTTGACATGTTAGTTAGAGTGTCTTGATAATTTAGTTAGTTCAATCTATTTCAAATCCTTTTGCAACGTTGATTATGACTTGTCTCCTTTCAATGCATACCAGATTCTATTTAGTAATTAAACAATTATGGGTTATGTTTTTAGGCATGTAAAGTTTTGGAAAAATATTTAAAATAGACATTTCTTTGTACTTTAGGAGAAAATCTTTTTGTATCCGGTTCTTGATTCAATTTGATAATTAAATAAGGTGGTCATTGGCCAACTCCCTCTAGTTAGACCTACTTTTAATGTTTATCATATCATATTTAATTCATGATTTTTTTGTCTTTTTAATTTTACAAATAAAAGATTATTTTATATAGAAACAGTCTTCACCAGTGATTATAAGATTATTTTAAATATTAATTTTATGTATTGATAAAAAAATTCACATGCATGCAATTAAGTTGCATCATAATGTATTTTTGTCATGTTAGTTTTTAAAATATTTCCATATGAGATATGTTTTAAACAAAATATAATTCTGCTAATAAATCAAATCACATTTGATGGAGGTTAGAGTAACAATGGCGTTTTTGCCATGGATGAGAATCTCAAGTTTGTTTGGAGATGTATTTCTGGATTGTCTATGTTCTATTTTGGGAGATGCATGTCCGGATTGTACTCGGGCTAAAATTTGGGTGATTTTATAGATTTGTATTAACATGATGTTTTTCTTTGTTTCAGTTTGTAACACAAGTTCAATGGCTGATAATGACCATGAAAACAACTCTGGCATAGTTTGGCTCAAATGTGTGTCTCAAACTGCGTCAGTGCGACGCGATATGGCCATAACTAGGATCACGGGTTAATGATAACTCATTTGATGGTTCGCAACCATCAAGTTCGCAACGCTGAGGTTCTACTTCTCGTAGCCACCTCTCTAAAGCACCCACTTCACGGGATCAAGAGTCCCAAAATGACACAACAGACCCTAAAGTCAAGGAAGAAGTCGCTAGCCCACCAGAGAGTTATCCAGGAGGCCCATTTCACACATCCTTACTTCATCTCTATAGAGATCATGTTGTTAGACATATATGGGAAGGAGATGTATTTTTTCCTTTTGTAATATATATGTTTTCAACTAATTAAATTGATACTGATGGTAATATTTTCTTTTTACATGAGCTTACATGTTTAAAACCTATTAAACCACTGGCGGATAATATTGGAGTTGGGGAAGCCCACTGCTAATTGATTTTAGGATGTTTTTCGCCATTTCGGTCTTGTTGATTTATGTTCTGCTACATACATGACCATATCCCACGACTTGTATGTGGATTTTGCAAAGATGTGGCATTCAGAGACTCCATCTTTCTACCTTCCTATACGTGAGATGACCACCACCTTGGATGACATCTCATGACTCATACATCTTCCCATAAGGGGAAATTGCTAGGCCACAAAAGGATTGATCGAGAGGAAGGTGTCGACATGATGGTCCCTCATTTGGGGAGTTGACCTAAATGAGGCCTCACAAGAGGCACATGACACTAGAGGTGCTCATGCTAGATTTAGTTTTTTGAAAAAGCTTTATAAAGACCATCTGCAGCGGGTTGTGGACGCCGAAGGTGATGACATGCAGGTTGAGTACCATAAGACTTGTGTGTTGAATTGTTACCTCTTGTTCTTGGTTGTCACACCCATTTTTATGGACAAAAGTGTAACCTATGTCGATGTGGTCTATCTTAAGTAATTCACCGACCTGATTGTGATTCACGAGTACAATTAGGGGGGCACCTATTTGGTTTACATGTACTCTAATCTGGGTGAAAATTGTCCATGTAAGACAAAGCGGATGATAGGGAGTTGCACGATACTTACGGTAATTTATTGTTACTAATATTTTCATAATTCATTTGTTACCCTTGTTATTAATATTGTATCTAAACAACTTTCAGAGATGGATATGTGATTGCAACTTGCCTTTAGATGTTTTGGATGATGTCAAAACTAGAAAACTTAGCATTTCTGTATATTGGACGGTATCTCTGTGTTATTTGGTGCATCCTTGCATTAGAGGTCTTCGAAAACATTTAAATCAAGTTTGAAATTGGCCAAAAACATGAAAAATTATTTTCTACACAAAAATAACAGTATGTGCCGACACATATGCTTTTCAGGCCGACATATGTATTGTAGTAATAAATCATGTAGGCTTTGTTTGAGTGTGCCAACACATAAACCTTTTCGCGTCGGCACATGCTTCATTTTTTCTTTCATATGCCGGCACATAACCTTTTGTGTTGGCACATGTGTCAATGTTTGAAATTTTGTGTCGGCACATACTGATGTTTGGGGTCATTTTTTTAAAAATTGTTTCAATTTCAAAGTTTCCCTCTTTGCCACCATATTTACACAATTATAAATACATCATACATGCTTCATTCTAACTTGATGAAACTATAAATATTTACCATAATTTCTTTTCATCTTCAACCTCCAACCTATACATACACACTAACAAACTACACATAATCATTTTTTGTTGGGGTGCCATCTAGACGAGGTTTTATAACGTCCAATTAGGTTTGTGTAGCCAAGAATATTGGATTGAGAATTGTGGGGGGTTTCATCCAGAAAAATCTAGGGTTTGTCCTCAAAGATCTTTGGTAGATTTGGAGGCTTTGTTTAAGACTTCGCAGTAGTGGATTGTGAAAGGTTTGAAGATTGGAGATCTTGCAAAGGATTAGTGTTAGACGGTGGATCATATTGGAAGTTCGAGTGGTCAATAGTTTGCAATTGGATTTGATCAAATGAACGCTTTGGAGATTGAGGATCTCACAAAGGATTAGCGTGAGACGTTGAATCAATTAGATCTATTGTGTCTTGGTCTTGCTCAAGATCAAAAGAAGAGAAGGGATTTAATCAACATCAAACAGTTAGGATTTGTAGGGTTTCTTTCGGAACACTTCTCTTGTAATCAACTTTCTGCAAAGTAAAATTTTCATCTCAATTCCAAAACGGAATTGGGGGAGGGGGGGGGGGGGGGGGGGGGGGGGGGGGGGAGACGTAGCATTATCAAGGACAATTGGTGAACTTCCTAAGCAAATCATTATGTCGCACTTTCTATCATTTACTTTTTATATGCAATTTATTGAACTTGGTGTTTAATTGATTAATTCATATATAATTTTTTGTTGATTGTTAAAGTTTGAATTGCTTTGTTGATTAGCTTATAATCACTTTGATTGTAAGTGTTGTTTTCAAATCAACAAAGCTCAAAAGAAAATCGGAAAAATTAATTGCACACCAAGTGTTCGATAAATTGTCAAGTTTTTATTTTAATACAATTTCATTGGAAATAGGTGGCTGTTGTGATTTGTTATAAACGATTAATTGTGATACAGTTGTGTTGGTTGTTTTTATCATTGTTAATTTCATACTCCTTTCGCATATCCGAGTTTTCAATAACTAGGTTCGTTTAGATGACTTTTTGATCTAGTTTAAAATCTTCTGCTCAACATTGTCTTTCAAAATAAATTTTAATTACCTATTTTTGTAAGGTAATTTTTTCTCGGGGATCTATTCACCCCCTAGATAAATTATCATCGTCTAACAAGTGATATCACGAGTTCCAAT